TTAGAGTAAAATCATATAAGGGAATGAATTGGAAAGCCCTGAGAATATAACAAACTGTCTATTTCTCTGTGAGGCAGGTTTCACTCTTTGAATATGATCACAAAATGAATTATGTGGGGAGTGTATTATGTGGATAAATAGTAAGGGCTGGAAAATAATTTCTCTTTCAGTTCGGAACATGAAAGAAAGTTAAGGATGTTTGTTACCGTTTGTTTATCATTATCTTGGCATTATAAAGAAGAGGGGAATTCTTGTCAGGCTGAAGCTTTATGTTATTTTTTTCTTGTCATCAAAGATGATAAGAAATAAAATAAGGGCTGCTACCTGTCATAAAAATCAGTGAGTTTTTTAAACACAGCATGATATGTGTGATGAGGAAGGCAGGTGTTACCTAATCAGTTATATTGGTGACTTATGGCAAAAATAGCATTCCTAGCAATCCAGCAGCTGAGGTTTACCAAATAAAGTTGTAATCCATACCAACATCAAACAGGATTCAAAAACTGACTAGCGTGGAACTTTTTTATTCAGAGGGAGCCTTTGTGAACTGGAATACTTACAAATTGCTCAGCCTTTAGTTAAACAGCATTATAATCATGGAACTGCCTGAAAGAGAGTTGGTGTTACAGGTGTTGTGCTTTGAGCACAAACTGTTTTAACAAAGCCATTTAATTGCGCCTATTTAAGGGGTCCCAAGTTGATTAGAAGCAAATGAAAGGAATGTTATATTGAAAACAAGTGATAAACTAACGCAGTTTGTCCATGTGATTAATGTGAATGTGATAATTTTTCGATATTTAGGTACTGTAGGAGTTTTGGATTTCAGTGTAATGTTCCTAAAGCAATCTATGGTGCATTTATCTTCAAACTTGTAGTTGCTACAAGGTATCATCAGATCATATTTATTCATCAAATCTGACCCTAGATATCAAGAAATAATGCTCCCTTTACAGCCTGTTTGCTGCGTTTGCTACCGATCTGTGATTTTCCTCAGCAACATCCATTATTCCAGTCCTATATTAAGCTTTGGGAATCCTTACTGGAAGGGAGCAGGTAGAGTCTTGTGTGTAAAGGTTGAGTTTAGTTCTACCTTCAAGTCTTACTCCATGAGGTAGCTGTAATATTTATATTCTCATTACTTCTCAAGGTATGATTTGATGGCTGCTATAATGATATTCAGATTATGACATGAATATTTAGTGTATTGAACAAAACAACAACAGCCTAACAGCTGTATTTATGAACATAGATGCTCAGATGTTAGAGTAGATTAGTAATTGTTTTTTCCCCTCCTGTCCATCAGAATTCAGCATACAGAGACAACAGTGAATTCTTTTAAAAGCTAGGAAAATAGCTTGGAAAGCTCAAGGTTAGCTCCTGCTAAACAGTTTTTAAACATTACCTCTTTCAGTTCTATTTGTTATTTTTTCACCTTAGAAGTGTAGATGTTGGAGCTTACAGAAAGTGCTTCAGAGTTGGACTACTCTGCATGGCCTCTATATTTCAGTCATCAGGAGAACCTGTTTCCCCACATGTACTGTCACTGACTTTCTGCTCTGTTCCTTTTTTTTTCCTTTTTGTATTTTTATCTTGCCTGTCTTTCTGAGTTCATGTCTTTTTCCACCATCTGTTACCATTCACATGCTCTCTTTTGACAATTTCTCTTAATGTCCCATTTTATGTGGCTCCGTTGTCTCCATTTGTAATTCCTTTTGCCTTCCTTTTCTTCTAAGATTTGAGAATTTTGGAAGTACTTTGATTTTTTTTTTTTAAAGGTCCTTCAGAAATGTGCTTGGTTGATAGCAAATACCTCCTGCTCCTCTCTTTGCATTGCTGTTGCCATGGTATTCCCATCAGTGCTATGACATAAATGACAGGCAACATACAGCTATGACTATATAAATAGGTTGCTTAAAGAACAACACTCTTCCCATGGCATAAGATGTTCCATCATATGTCTAAACTGAAAACTTGACTAATCTTTTTTTGCCACTTTAAAGGGCTGTAACTGTAGAACAGTTCTTAAGGGTCCAAAACTGTTCCTAGAACTGATTAGAAAGACAGGTAAAAAGTATTAAAATGTAGTACATTCTCCAAAACTTTAAGAATTATGAATTATGAGGTTTTATATGTATATGTGTGTGTGTGTATATTCGTGTCTTAAGGCCAGGCAGTTTTTGTTTTGTTTTGTTTTCTAGGAGTTTTAACTCTTTAACGTTGTGTACTTCATGTCTTTACCATTTTGTTTTTCAGGAAAATGTATGGGAATAACAAACACAGTGACATTACTATCTATGTCATGGTTACAGTAATAGTGCCCTCCTGTTTCAGTGTTTTACTATATTTCTTCCAAAACAAAAATAGCTTTAATGGCACGATTCAACATTTGTATCCTAAAATACAGTGGGGAAAAATATATGTTGTAATGTAAGGAGTGGAAGTTCCACTTCACAGTTTCCTGACTAACCGACTTACGTATTACAGTCTCTTGCAGCTCCATATCTGTAACTCAGTATCCCATACAGGTTTTTGTTGTTGTTTTATGTGAAAACAAAGTAAATTTATTTCTTTTTTAAACAATCATGTATACCAAAAAGTAGATTTCTGAAACAAGGTCCTTTTGCAGCTCGAGTATACATGTGCAATTCCTTTAGCAGGTGTGATGTTTGTTAGAGAGTTGGGGACAAATACAGCAAACGTAGCTTAGAACTATTTTAACTAGCTTGGTATATTTGTGCGGTTTGACCACAATTCTTTCATTAAATTCATGCTGCTACCGTAGTGTTACTGTAAATGATAACCAGTATCTGCTGATGACTTGCTCATTTACATATGTAAATGAGCAATATTGTAATGGATTTATAGAATGGCTGTTTATAGTATGTTGTTTCTTCATTCTTGAATATGTTTTTAGTGTTGTGTTATGCCTGATGTTGAACTACTGAATACTGCAGGTAATGCAGTACCCGTGCCACGTAAATTGCATATCCAGTTTTCACCCATGTCTGTAATCTTGTTCAGGTTAATTGAATAACTGTTGTTGGTAATGACTTTTTTCATAAGTGAGGACTTGCAGAATTGGATTTTTCTTACGTGTTGCTCCTTATGTGTAATCACAAAGCCAGAAAATGCTTTGCAGTTAAATCATGTTGATGTAGAAAGATAACACCTTGGAATGTTAGAAGTTGCTTTCTTTATCTGCTACTTACTCCCACTGAAAAGCAGGTTGCAGAGTTGAAATGGAATAATTAAATTTGTGTTCCTAATCTGTTTCACTGCCAAGTCAAATGTTTTAATTTAAATTGCTTTGGAAGTGATACTGCTGAAAGGCAGTAACTAAAGGGTGAAGATAAATACTGGCTTTAGGAATTCCTTAAACCAATGCAGCTTGACCCACAGTTGTAAATCACTTTGTACTATGACAGGGAGAGTAGAGAATAACATCAGGAAAGAGAGGGAAAAAGTTAATGGCTTTAACCCAAGCAGTGAAAATAATATAAATAGGCAAATAAAGCTATATTTGAAAAAGACACTGAGCTGGTATGATCTGAAATTTCATTAACTATGAAAATAAATTCAGACAGAACTCTTGAAAGTTATCTTACTTAAATAGTATTCAGGATTATCCTGCATTCTGTGAAGGCAGATTGATGTAAAGATTAGGCAAAGCAGCATATTCTATGCGTGGAACTAAACAGTGTTTTTCTCTAAATGTTGTCAGCTGAAGGTATTTATCTGTATATACCTATAAGTCATTCCATTCTTCAGTCCTTCAGTAAATTTAGTTCAGTTGCTAATGATCTTGAAAGGAGAAAATATGGTTATTCAGAAATTAGAATGTAAAGTACATAATGTTCTTTTACTCAACCCTAATCAAACCTGTGTTTCACTTTAAAGGTGTTGGTGTCTCAGAGTGCTTTGCTCATGTATAAGTAGACTTCACCAGATTTAGAGTTACATTAAATTTCTTTCAATTGATTCTCCAGAAGATACATTAAATACAGAGGGGAAATCCTTCCTGCACAGTCTCTCTCTCTCTAGGTTTTTTTGTTTTTTGTTGTTTTTTTTTTTTTAATCAAAGAAAGCACAATACATCCCACTGTATTGGAGATTAATGGCAAGAATCTGAGGTAGAGATTGTTTGCTGGCCTGGTGAGCTATTGGATAGCTGAAGCCGCTACAAGATTATGCTTGCTGCTAGGAAAAATGTTTTAGCTGTAGTGCTAGATTGAAAAGTTTCAGTGTTTTGCTCTTCTCCTTATTTTATGTTGGAATTTGTCCACTCTTGTCATGGGTTTTGGTAACAAACAGAAATTTGACTGAATTGAGTAGCAGTTTATTTTTCAAAGACTAAATCAAACCTTCTCTCCTTGGAGAGTGCTGTATTATGATTTGTTTGCTGGAAAGTCTTCAGCCTGAAGAACTCTGCACTATCTGCTAGTTTTTCTTGCTAGTTTAAGTTCTTTTATTAAAAACAAGAGCAAATAAATTTGGTCAACAAATATATAACTTTGTAAGCCCAAAACTGGGAGGCAAGGTAAATGCATGTTCTTAGTTTCCCACCTCAAAGCAGAAGGTATAAAAAGCTCCTGTTCCCGGCAGATGGTTGCTTCCAAATTCCTTGCATATACTTTTATTGGAGACAAAAATTGAGGACAGATGGCAGGGGGTTCAAGGGAAAGGATTTTCTTCAAAAAGAAAAATCTGAAGCTGGATATAGAAATAATTATTTGTCTTTGTTGTTATTTGTGCTTGTTAACTCTGGTTCAGTTCCAGGATTCTTTCCTCAAGTTAAGTAAGTAGTTGTAAGTAAAAATACATGCAAGACATTTTATGAGTTTTCTGAAGGACTGTTGAGTCAAATACCATTTTATTAGATGGGTTTTCAATCACTGCAGCTTGTTAGCTATGGGAAAGGCAGTCCTTTCATGCCTTCACCACTTACAAACCACAATATTCTGTATATTTTTAAAATATTTTCTCTTTTCCTTTTTTTCCAGCTACTCCTGGTGTTCTGCATGAACCTTCATTAATCAATTTGGAAATGGACTTGCTGTCTGGAACCTACCTCTTGGCAGTCTTATTAGCCTGTATTGTATTTCAATCTGGAGCGCAGGAGAAGAACTACACAGTGCGGGAAGAACTGCCTGAAAATGTCCTCATTGGCAATTTGCTCAAGGATCTTAATTTAACACTGGATCCAGATGTCCCCCTTTCCTCGCCACTACAGTTCAAGCTTGTGTATAAGACTGGGGATGTACCACTAGTACGAGTGGAGGAGAACACTGGTGAGATATTTACAACTGCAAACCGCATTGACCGAGAGAAGCTGTGCTCTGGCATCTTTAGTGAGAATCGCTGCTTTTATGAGGTGGAGGTTGCCGTTTTGCCTGATGAAGTCTTCAGACTGGTCAAGATCAGATTCCTAATAGAGGATATAAATGACAATGCCCCCCTCTTCCCATCTACAGTTATTAACATCTCTATCCCTGAAAACACAGCGATTAATTCTCGCTATTCTGTTCCATCTGCCATTGATCCAGACATTGGTGTGAATGGTATTCAGCATTATGAACTACTTAAGGTGAGTTTCTTCTCTTCTAATGTGTTGTTGTTTGTCTTTGCTGACCCGCAACTATTGTCGGTTCTCATCAAATAATTAGAAATATGAAACTGTGAATTGTGGTAGTGGTACACTGCAGACAGCTTTTGAAATCTTATCCTATACACCTGAGAGCATTGTAGTTCATCTTCTTGGAGAAAGCTGCTTGTGTGTGTGTGCCTGTGTAACTGAAACACACACGTCTTCCTTAACAGTCCACTGACATTCAAATTATTTGTACAGCTTTGGCTGATAATCTTCTTGCACCATCAAGGATGTGCTCTCATCACCACCAATATAATAATATAACAATATGTTGCAGTGGGTTTGTGCCTCCCTGTTGCATGACTGTTATATTTGAGCAGTAGTGCTTAGCCCAGGAGATTAAGTAATGTGCTCTCTTATAGAGAAGCCATGAAATAGTAAGACAGACTATTCTGTTCTGTAATAGCTGTTCTGTCTATGCTTTAATTACATTTTTCTCTTGTGTGCTTTCTTATCAGGTAATTTTCAAGTTATGGTTTTACTGTCTTTAAATAAGACAGAGATTTCACGTAGCTTGGAAAGTATCTGTATATCGCCAAAACAGTTTTCATCAGACAGACACTGTATGGAATAGTAGCATCAATGTATTATTCTACTCAGTTCCTGGTAGTTTTTACAGTGTTAGTATCAAAAGTGATCAAAAAAGAAGGAGAAGGAAGTGGTAGAAATGAAAGATGCTGTTGAGCAGGCAGGACAGAGCATATAAACAAAGATCCATCGTTCACTGTGGAAGATAAGGGAGATGAATGGGGAAGGGAAGAGGTGCATGAGAATTTTTTTCCATGGGTTAACAGTGTTAGGAGGGAGAATGAACACAAAATGGTGTTGCTTGCATTTTCTTCCAAAATGCATCTCATACATTACTCTGTGCCTCTTGCTGGGGGTATGCTGTGAAGTTACTGATGTCTTCTGATGTGTTAATATTTTCCTTCACTATTTAAGCAGCATGCAGAAATGTGACAGCATATACAAATGCACAGGATGAATTTAGCAGGGGTAATGTAACAGTGTTGTGGGGATTTGAGGTAAGCAGCGGATGTGAAGGCAGGGCAGTGAGCGTGGAGGTGGGAGGTGATTAGATATGCATATCATGTCACTTCACGGAAGCACAAAAGCTGAAGCTTTAATATGCATGCAGCAACAGAGTGAATATGTTGCTACATACTTTAGAGAAAGTAATGGCAAATTAACAAGCTGTTCAATGAAGGGAAATCTCTTTAGTTGCATTTCACTGGTAAAAAATTTTAACTAAAATACTCTACTGTCTGTACAGAGCCAGGCCTATTTCTCAGAAGAGGTAAAGAGATTTCTGACATAACAATTTTCTAAAGACACCAAGCTGTTAACTACAAACTCATCTGTGTAGCTTAGAGGTCGTTAGCACATTTTCAGCAACTCTGTACTTTATTTCAAATAATCAAATGTTACAGTATTTCCTGTATGGGATAAAGGTTGCATTTAATTGTTGTATTCAGTTTTTTTGCAAAACAGATCATTAATGAATTACAAAGTCATTTAATTAAGTGACTCACTTTATTTGAAACTCCTACCTCTTTCTAAAAAGAAAACAGAACATCTTAAAATGTTATTCTTTTGTTTTGGGTTCAGACTTACTAGCAAGTTTTGTAACACAGGGTTTGATTTGTTTAATGGAACACTCACAGTTTTGTACAATTTAAATTACCACTCAAATTAGCATTTGCATATTTTTTCCTTCCTGCATTTTCTCAAAACATCTGAATAGAAGGAGACTTTTTTTTGTAACTGATTCATGGTATGAGAAGCTCAGACCTTTCCAGGTGTCTGTGATTGAACGATATAATGTCTGAAAACTGTGAACTCTGAGAAAATAACAGTTGTTGATAACCTCTGCGTTTGTTCCTGTCCTACTCAGGAGTCATATGGAGGACAATTCTAAGGAAAACAGTGTTTCTAGTTTTCATCTCAGTGTTTGTAAGAAAACCCAAATATGGTCCGTAGGATTCCTTTTGAATTGTTTTCTTATTTAGAAAAGCAGTTGCAACATTTTTGAAGATGTGATAGCAGTGTGATAGTTCTAGCAACTGACCAAGTTATTCGAGTTGAAGTTTACAAATACTGAATGACCTAAAAATAGTGATACTCCAACAATACGTGAAGCTTTCTTTTTTGCCACAATAAAGAAGATTTCAGGAAACAGTCATGCAGTACACCTTGCTGTTAGCCAAAGAAATTGTGCATAGAGCTATAAATGTTCATGATGCTCTACTGCAGTGCCCAAACTGTGGATAGGATAACATGAAGTGTTCAAATAGCAGATGCTGTGTAGTGTTTACTGTGGACAAGGCAAGGGAGGGTGAACTTAATTAAAAGTAATTTTAAAAAGAAAATTATTTACAGTGAACAACTGCCTTAAGTCTAGAGAGGGAGGAAGGATGGCATAACATTGATAGTAAGAGGTGATGGAGAAGAAAGCTACGACAGATGGTGAAGCAGTTCAGGGAGGGAAATGGCCAGATAAGAAAGCAGTGATTTTTGTCTTAGTTGAGCATAAAGTGGGAGTTGACAGTGCATGTTTTATTCTTCTTGCATCACGTGGTTGCCTCCCTGAGCAACTACATGGTCCACGGGTCTTTGCTTCTTCGGGTGGTCAGGCTGCTCACAAATGTATATAAAATGTTTATGCGTTGTGTCTAGTAATACCATCAGTGTGTTAAAAATGCATGCATGCTGTTGTTGATTACAGCACATGTTTGAGTTCAAGGCAAGCTAATATTTAGTATAACCTGATCAGTAGACGTGGAATTTACACAGGCCTGTGCTTTGGCTTTGAGGATTGCCATGTGAAGCATTTTGTTATTCTCTTGACTGTTAAAAATGAGAGCTGTTTCAGAGCAGTTTTTTAAACAGGATCTCAGAACACTGTTGTGGAGAGTCAGCTTTGTTCTTCCAAATGGATTCATATCTGTGCCTGCTTAAATTAAATCCTATTATTGACTCCTTAGCATTTCTTGTCAACCAGCACAACCACATAAACTACACGGTGCATAGTTACAACGTGCAATTAGCAATGGACTAGAGTGAAAGCAGAGCTCTGCTCTTACAGGAGCAGAGCATTTTCTAATGTGAGCTAATCCTTTGTTCTGATAGTTTGTTGCTTGTTTAATCTGTGTCAGTTTGGGGGAAATTAGGTTGGTGTTACTGCTATAGTTCCATTACTCTTACTTGTCAGAATATTATTCCTGTATTTACCTATCATCAGAAGCAGCTGGTGGATTCCTTCTAGATTTATATAATAATCTCTTTGTAGCTGTCAGTTCATACATCTGTAATCTGACAAAATAGATTCTTACTCAGTCTCACAACACGTCAGTCTTGCCTCTGATGGGGAGAGTTACCTCTTGGTACTGTAAATCATCTCTTGCAATGTCTTTCAGTCTAAGCTTTTCCCTGCTTTCTGATACAATTTATCAATTCCTTGACTTATGGAAGATGGAGATTACAAATCTTCATCAGATTTCTAGACTTCTCTTGAAACTAGTTTCTTAGCCTTGCAGGAGTTTGGGATCAAGTAACTAACATCACTGCTTGTCTGTGAAAATTGGGAATGTAAGAAGATATATTTTATGTAAAATGAAAGCAAGGAAGGCAGTTAAAATTACAAAGTGTGACTAGATTTGCAGTTAAATTAGAACGGAATAGTTAGATTTATGAAATCAGTATTGAAAATCATATCATAGACAGAATTACAAATTTGATAGCAAAAAGACTGATGCTGAAGGTGGGAAAATGGAAATTCCCTATGACCTGCTTGCTTTTTAGTGTGATACTAGTATGATCTTAGTAGTTGATGTCAACGGTTTATGGGCTGGTCCGGCCCAGTTCCGTGACCAGCAGGGCGGAGGGATCTGCGGATCCGCGCCTCTGGGAAAGGGGAAGCAGGGGACCCCAAAATACTTGAAAACAACAGCACTGATCTGAGGTGGAACAAATGATTTTACTAAATATAGTATTAGTAAAATACAATGAGAGAGAGAGAGAGAGAGAGAGAGAGTCTGTTTGAATTGTATAGACCTCACCACAATGCTGGGGTGAGAAGTGCAGTCCAGTTGAGAGACTGAAGTGCAGACGGCGAAGTGCAGATGGCGAAGCGCAGGCAGCAAAGCGCAGATAGCGAAGCGCAGACAGTGAAGAGCAGGCGAAGAAGAAGAATCAGGTGACCTTGCTTGGAGTTATATCCCCTTGCTGACCGCAAAGTCTCCTGGGGAAATGTAGTTCTTCTCCGACAGACGAACATTCGGCAGATATCAAACCCCACCCCCAATGCATTACATGATGTTATGGTGTGGAATACTGATGACCAAAAATCATAAAACCATGACAGTTGAGTACATTAGACAGAAGGGAAGGAAGCACCCTGCAAACAAGTTGCATGGTGAAGCAAACAGAGGTTGTGGATGCTCATCTACTTGGAACGATCTCAGCATAGGTGTTCACCAGAATGTCTGCATTGACCCAATCATCAGCTGCTTAAACCTCCTGTCTTTGTGCTCCTGATTTGTTTTTCTTACTTCACAGTCCCTTAATTGAGTTAACATAGGGACTTTATTAAGTGTAACATTGCAGGACAAGTTAACTTCCATTATCACTGTAATAGCTCTTATGCATTATACTTCATGTATTTGGGGAACACTGCTTTGTTTTCTCTCTTACTTCATGTGCCAGCAAAGGTGGGAAAGATAATAGATTTAGGGGGCTCTAAAGTAGATTTAGGAAATTTTTTGCTCTAGAGGTGCGCTCCTGCCAAGCTCTAAAGTCACCCTCTAGTGCCTGTAATTTAATAAATATGGAGAGTTGGATGTGTTGCCTTTCTAAGGTAACTTTTAGCTGCCCTTCAGCAGAGAAAGGTTTGCTAGGACACCGGGTCTGTATTTTAAAGGATGCAGAGTAATTCTTTT